CTGCTGCTGAAGGGGAAAAGTTATATATGTATGTGTATACGTGTATGTATGTGTACACATGCACGTGTGTGAAGGCAGGTATAGGGATTCAGAGTTTTGTGGTACATCTAAAATAAACTAAGGAATTAAAAAGTAGTCAAAGCCTAAATTGTAGTAATTTCTAAGAAATACAGAGCCAGAATGACATAATAGTACACACAAGGCATGGTGTTCTTAAAAATAAACCTAAGTTGTAGCTATTAAGGACCATGCTATTTTGCAGAAGTGTAAAGAAAGGCAGATTGAGGCTAGCATGTGGTCGCCCCCGGAAGACAGCAGGGTATCAAGTGTCAGTGAGCTCCTGGAGCTGAAGTCTGTGATTGAGCAGAAGAAAATGGGTCTTCTTGTGCATCTTGACAAAACCAAATTAATGAACATGGCCTGGCTGGGCAGGACATCACTGTGTCCACATTTTGGCAATACTCTCTGAGGGATAAAAATAAGAAATGACACTATATAAGGGTTTAGAAATTTCACATCCATTATCCTGTTGAATACAGCATTTTTGTGGAAAAATGTAAGTGACTTCATTTTTCAGAAGACAAAACTGGATCTCAGAAAGCTTAAGTCACTTGTCATAGTCACAGAGAAGGAAGAGGCATATACAAGACAATATATAATTAAGTACTTAAAACATATCTCACTCCTACCAAATCCGTACAGTGGTCCCATTTCCTCCACTGAGACAGATCCATATTCCTCATACCTTGACTCAGAACCAAGGACATACAAGGCCCTTTACAACCTGGCCTCAAGGTATCCTGGCCCTACTCCACTGCAACTCCGGTCACTCTGGACTTTCATTTCTAAGATATTTTAAAATGCTGTGGCTTTGGACTGCTATTCTGTGTTCCATATCTCCGTTTTCCCATTCTGTTTATCAAATACTTAATCATAATTCAAAATTTACCACAACTCTCACCTCTTCTGTGAAGTCTTTCTGGGATTCCAAAGAGAATGTTATTCTTTTCTTCCCCTCTGTCTTCACTCATTTTTTACTACCAGAAACAGAGCTGTTTGGGAGCTATTACTGGCTGAAGTATGTCCCCTCTGGCAGCCCCGATAGCTCAGAATGTGACTGGATTTAGAGACAGGACCTTTAAAGACATGATTAAGTTTAACCAGGCCATTAGGGTGAGCCCTAATCTAATAAGATTGGTGTCTTTATAAGAAGAAATTTGGAGACACAAAGAGGCACTGGGGTGTGTGTGCAGAGAAGAAAGGCATGAAAACAATGAGAAGGTGGATGTCTGCAGGTCTAAGAGGCAGGCCTCGGGGAACCCAACACCTGCTGAACACACTGATCATGGAATTGTGGAAAAATAAATGTATGTAGTGTAAGACACCCAGTTTGTGTTATTTTGTTATGACAGCCCTAGCACAGTAATCCAGGGGGCCCCTTTGGCACTTTGTGGAAACCTGATTGCAGGTGACAACACTGGCTGTCCCAGGGGCAAATGACACTCTCCTGGGGCTCCAAGGAGAAAGGCATAGTCCATCTCAGATTCCTCATTTGTTCTGTTCTTGCACTTGCAGTGGTCATATCAGTTATAGGAGTTCAGTATGACAGCAGAGAAGGAAGCAAATAGCAAATAGAACAGCGATGAATGGGAAGTGGTAGTCTTTCACACAGGGCACCTACTGTGTGCTAGAGTGTCTTCATACCTGAGTTCTGTGAAGTTGGTGCTATTATACCAATATTTCAGATAATGCTCAGGCTCAAAGAACTGAAGAAACGCACTCAAATTCAAACAGAAGTCTTTTGTTTTTGTTTTTTTTTTAAACAATAAATGCAACATAATTGTATTTAGTTCCTTCAACAGTAAATAACTTGCTTTTGATTAAAAGTCCTTTGCTCATGCAAAATCATGTTGATAAAACCAAAACTGCTGCAATTAGTCAGATGGTGCTCATATTAACTTTTCATATATTTAAGTCCCAAACAGTTTTGCCTCTGGGTAAATCTTCTTGATTTACAGAAGTAAGTCCATATGATTTCTCAAATAGTGGGCTTTTTTTTTTTCAAGAATCCAAAATATTCAGGTATCAAAGTGACAAATGAATAATTTTATTAAGCAATATGGACAGAAAGACACCATATTACATTGAATAACTCACTGACCTATCCATCCATCTATCCACTCACTGAGTTAGAGAGAGAGAGAGAGAGGGAGGGAGGGAGGGAGGGAGAGAGAGACCCTGTGTCCCCTGTGTGTCTGGTTTAGAATTGGGCACTGGCAATATGCAATTGCAAAAGAAACAGTACTTGCTTTCAAGGAGCTCAAAACTTGGTACCTAATTCAGAGAATTGTTGAGAGTTTTAATTACTACATGGAAATACTTAGGAAAATGCCCAGAACTTAGGGAACACTCAAAAATACAGTTTTTATTTTTATTGCTATCTGATAGTGAGAGAAGAAAGCATGCTTTAGTCTCCCATAGTAAAGGTTCGGTATGTTCTTGGGGGAGGGTGCTGGGAAGAAGTTCCTATCCCAGTCTGGGGGGTGCCTGAAACAACTCCTCCAGCAGTAACCTCTCAGCTGACTCAGAGGCAGGCAAAGAAAAGGAGAAAGGAGCTCTAGGAGATAAAGTCAGGAAGATGAAGTCCAGATCTTAAAGAGCTTCATGCCTTGTGTTAAGGGGCCGAACATTTATCTTGCAGATAAGAGGAACCATTGAAAGGTTTGATATAGGGAGACAGGGAACAATCAAGATCACATTTGTGTATCATAAAAATCTTTCTGGATATGCAGTAAAGAAAATCATGAAAGGTGCTACAAGTGACATTTTTCCAAAGAGGATATTGATGACTCAGCCAAGCCAATGGCAATGGACAGCAAGAGGAGGTGAGCTACTCAAAATATACTGAGGACTTCCAGTCAACTTGACTTCACAACTCCAGTTAGGAGAAGGGAGAGTCAGAGGTGGCATGGCTAGCAGGTGCCCTTCTCTGAGTTTTGGTATACGAGCAGGTTTGGAAGAAAGTTGATGAAATTCATTTTGGAGGTTGTGTTCAAGGTGTCTGTGGGGAAGTTTCTAGGTGGTGACGTCTAATCCACAAACACAGAATGGAACTCCTAAAAGAGTATTACCTGGAGCTAGAAATTTGGAGTCATAGCCAAAAGTGGGGCAGTTAAACTACCGGCATCAATCAGGGCACTGGAGACAAGCAGAGGGTGGTGGTGGGACACCCCAGGGCCTTCCAAGAGGCATGTTCTTGTCAATAAATACACTAAGCAAGGGAGCAACTACAGCATCCCCACCCAAGGTGAAACATGGCAGGTGGAGAGAAGCCCTAGGCTGAATGCATTAGGATTCTAATGACATGCCACAATCTCTTTCAGGAGACTTAGTGGAAGGGAGCTGGCAAATATATCAACTCACATAATTGGCATCTTTAACAGCACATGTCTGGTGCAGAAGAGCTGTTGGCTCTCGAAAAGAAGGGCAGGATGGGGTCTGATCACTCACCTTTTCAAGGATACTCTTAGCAGCTTCTGTCTAGGAAGCCAGCTTTGTCAATAACTGTTCGTTTCTCTGCCTCAGAATCATGTTGGATCTACCTCAACAGTTTCCAGATGACAGCACCAAACAGTCCCTCCCAGCTTCTCCCCAAGGCTGCCTCCAATTTGGATGCAATCAGCATCCAAAAGGGCTCCTTTCCATATCTCCTAGTAGGAAGTGACCCTGGAAGCTGCAAAGTCCTCATTCGCAAACTGACAGTCACTTTTTCAGTTTTCCAGGCCAAGATGGAAAAGGCTCTTTACCTTCCAAGATAAAGCCCCCCGCCTGCCACAGCAAAGAGAAATCACACCCACACCCAGCCGACATTCATTCTCCATTTTCTCAGCCTGTCACTTCTGAGAAAGAGACAGCTGTTGCTGCCACCACAGGCAGAGAGAGAGAGAGATCCCTTCAACCTCTTACTATATTAAGTCACAGAAAGTTTCTTGCAATGTGTCTCCCTGTCACTTACTCAGGAAGGTCCCTATGACATAATTTTGAAAGTTTTTACAGACAGCAGGAAAACAAGAGTGTTAACCCAAACCTCAATCAACTAAACAATATAAGGACATAATTCCTGAAACTCTTGCCCACACTCGTTTTTGGAAAGACAGCACTGTATTTCACTGGTTGTTTTCAAACTGGTTTTGTGTATATGTATAACATTTGCTGTGGCCATCTATAGAACATTAGGTTGACTCCCATAGTGTTAATCCCTTCTCCTCTCCAGAATTACATCCAATTCTTACCAAGAACACTTACTTATTATGTCCCCTTCAAAAAATATATGTTGAAGTCTTCATCCACAGTACCTCAGAATTTGACCTTGTTTGGAAACAGGGTCTTACCAGAAGTAATTGAGTTAAAAAACCCCGTCTCTACTAAAAATACAAAAAATTAGCTGGGCATGGTGGTGCGTGCCTGTAATCCCAGCTACTCAGGAGGCTGAGGCAGGAGAATTGCCTGAACCCAGGAGGCGGAGGTTGCGGTGAGCCGAGATCGCGCCATTGCACTCCAGCCTGGGTAACATGAGTGAAACTCCGTCTCAAAAAAAAAAATAATAATAAATAAAATAAAATGAGGTTATGAGGGGCCCTAATCTGATATGACTGGTATCTTTACAAAAATGGAACCTTTAGACACAGAGATAGACATGCACAGAGGGAAGATGATGTGAAGACTCAGAGAAGATGGCGATGCGACCAGAATGATGCATCCACAAGCCACGAAATGTGGAGGATTGCCAGAAAACAGCAGAAGCTGGGAAGGACCAAGGGAGGATTCTCTCTCAGCACAGTCAGAGAAAGTGTGGCCCTATCAATACCTTTATTTCAGACTTCTAGCTTCATTGGGCTGTGATATAGTAACGGTCTGCTATTAGTAAGCCACAAAATTTGTGGTAAGTAGTTACAGCCACCCTGAGAAACGAATACACTCATACAGGTAGGTTGTTTCACAGATGCCTTTCTAGCCTTTCCTTTGATTTGTGATGTTCCCTCTATTAAGGACTGAATTGTGTTTGCCCCAAAATTTATATATTGAAGCCTCAATGTGACTGTATTTGAATATAGGATTTCGGGCAGTTATTAGGGTTAAATTAAGACACAAAGGTGATCCTCTAATCGGATAAGATTAGTGTTCTCATAAAAAGAGAAAGATACACCGGAGATTGCTTTTCTCCACGCACAGAAGAAAGGGCATATGAGAACACAGCAAGAAGGTGGCCATTACAAACTAGGAAGAGAGTCCTCACTAGAAACCAAAGGTGTACTTTGATTTCCAGACTATGAAAAAATAAATTTCTGTTGTTTAAGCCACCCAGCCTATGATATTTCGTTATAGCAGCCAAAACTAGCCGATGCACATGTAAATCCTCTGCCATGTTCCAAGTCACATTCATGCTTTGCATGATGGCTCCAAGGCACTGTGCTCATTAGGTCTTTCCCTGATTCCTTGACAAGAGTGACTTTAGACCCCAATAGTTGTACAACAGTTCTAATTTTGAGTATTCTAAGAAATTTGCATTCATTCAGCCCCCACAACATTGCAAGCATTGTGCTTAACACTTTAGATATCCTGTTACTTACACCTCCCTACAGGGGTAGCATCCCAGTAATTTCCAGGAGAGTTAACGGAGCATCAGAAACTAAGTAACTGGTCACCCAACAAGGGAATGGAGAGACTTGGATTTAAGTCCTAGACAAATGACTCCTTTGAATATGCTCATTCCCCTGTATCACAGGAGCATCTGCTCTTTCTGTTGTCTGAGTTTATAGTCTTGGTTCTACAAATATGATCAAGGTACTTCAAGCATTACCGTAGCACCAGAGTTCTTCATCTGTAATGTGCACACAGATCACCAAGGGATCTTGTTAAACAGCAGACTTCGATTACGTAGGTCTAGGGGGTGACGTCTGACAAGCTCCCAATGCTGCTGATACTGTAGGTCATTCCTTGAGTGGTGAGGATTTACACACTAACACAATGGTTGACAAATTCATGCTTTCTTTTCTAATGGCCGTGTAGATGAATTCTTTATCACACACATTCAGAATCTACTACGCTCCTAGCTCTGTGCTAAGTAATGTGGGCACGAAGAATTAAAAACTTAATTTTAAATTCCTTAAGAGCATGGGCTGTTATTTTGACTATTTTTCTTTGAATTACGAACACAGTAGGCACATAGTAAGCACCTGGTCAACAGGATTGTACATCCCCAGAGTCTAAAACAGAGCATTCAAATAACAAAATCAGACTGAGATGTATCCTGTGACAGATATTCTTAGTCAACTACTATGATTCATTCTCCCTTTTCTTCCTTACTGATGGAGACCAATTTCATTAAAAACAGCCCCAAATACTCACTCCCCCGCTTCCCTTGTGAATTGAGGTGGTCGTGTGACTTTGTTTTTGTCAATGAAATGTGCTAGGAAGTCTTTTGGCTTTTTCTCATAAAAAGGTCCCTATGTCTTCCTTCTCTCTTGTATATGGATGGATTTCATGCACACAGATGCAGTGTTTTTGTGATGATGAGGCAACTAAGGTGAGAGAAAAGCTAAGATAATCATTTAAATGTTGTCATTGGCATTGCTAAGCTGCTGAACAAATATCAGCAGCTTCGTGCTTCAAACATCTTGCTACATGAGAAAAATAAAATTCTTTGCTTTAGCCAATCTTATTGACCGTTACATGCAGTTCAGAGTGATTTTAACCAATGGTAACCTTTCCTAGTTAGGACATTTCTATCATGACAACAGCTAAGAGTAGCCTAGTCAAAACTTGGAAGCAAAACTATGTTAGGCATGAAAAACATGTTTTCAAAATTAATTCCAGCCAAACATCAACCAGAAGCATATTCTATGACTTGATCCAGATTCTGTTAGAGGCAAATCTTCTTTTCTGTTTTTATTTTCCCTTGCTTTCTAATCTACATTCTGTGGATCCATTCCATAAAATTATTTCAACTCAGGTCCTGGTATGAAAAATGCAAAATCCCAAGTTGACCTAATAGTTTCTAGCTTAACCTTGATATTCTGCCAGGGTGTGTGGGAAGCCTAGTGCTTTTGGATGCATTTTGGGTTATCTTTGAGCAGCAGTCTCAACATTAGCGTTGACTCATAGCTAATACATCACAGGGACAGCCTACTCTAAAAGCATCAATAGAAGTTTGGTTTCCTCCTTAGACTTTCAATGCTGATTAGAAGAAAAAGCAGAGCCCTACATCCTGTTTTCTTCCATTCATCTCACACACAAACACATCACTTTTCTTCACTGCTTAAGACAGAATCAGTCTAAATGGGCCTCTCATTTCACTTTGCTTTAGTTAGAGAACACACACAAAAAAGTTTGTCTTCATTAATATTTTACAGAAAGCCTAATATAAATTAGGTACTTATATAATGGAATCAATCACATCTTAATGCTGACTTTAAATTCTGAAGGTGGAGAAGCAGGCAAAAAAAAAAAAAGTTCTTTGGATATTTCAGCTGAAGCAATAAAGGAAAAGGTGTAATTTGACCTGTGGGGAAACTGACAAAGTAAATAAATCAAGTGAACACATAATTTATTGTCCAAACCAGACTACTTCGAACAGTGAAAGGAGGAGTTATTAATAATAATGCTGGGGCAGTAGGCATAAACTAGAACATACTGGGACAAACTGGGACATGTGGTCATGCTGTAAATAAAGGTATGTCTTCAGTTTTTTCCTAACCCCAGCCTACATAGCTCAACAATGCACAGAAGAAATGGCTCTGCTCTGTATTTGCAGGTAGGAAATCACACAAACATCTCATCTGCCTGTGTATAGCCCCTTGTGTTTCTCATGAAACCTCATATCAGGTCTCGCTCAGTCTTTGCTCTGTGAGGTGAGTGTTCACATCTTCTTTTGATAAGCAAGAAATCTGAATCTCAGAAAGGTTGTTATTTGCACAAGACTGTACAGCGTTGGGGCAATGGAGCAAAAAATATGCATAATTTTCTCCATGAAGAGTGTTTTTTATTTTTGGCAGGTGAAAGGCCAAGCAGTTCTTCCAAACAATTATTTCCAAATTTGGGAAATTGTCTCAAAGAAAGCCTGCACACGAGTTCTGAAAAGCCAATCCCATGATGGGGCTACCTTCTGCAGATGGGTGGAGGCAGGACGCAGAGAGAAAAGAAGATTCAACCTGAGAAACTTCAAAACAGAAGAAAGACAAACCTCCTGAAATACACACTATATCCTGGGCACTGTGGTAGACATCTATGTATTCCATCTTACTTGATTTTTACAACAAACACGAGGTAAGCATTCATGATCCCATTTTTCAGAATGAGAAACTAAGGCTCAGACCAATTAAGTGATTTGCCTCTGGCCAGGCAGCTGGTAAACGAACATAAAAGAAAGTTGTCCAGCCCCATAGCTGTGCTCTTGTCGCCACATCATATTGCCTGACTTGGTTAACTGGGAGTTTCTGGAATATCCACTCCTCTCCATTGCCACAGCTGCCCTGGCCCAGCCCCCATGCAATCTTCCCTGCGCTGCTGCCGGGGCTTCATTACCTTGCCCCATAAAGTCCAGAATGTAAATCACATTCAGTTGCCCAATCTTGTGAATATATTCAAAATAACTGATTTACATACATTAAAATGGTGAATTTTATGGCATGTGAACTATATGTAAAACAGAAAAAGATGGTTGGCAGCCAACAAAGTAACAAATCATAAAAGTTTGTAAAATATGGGTCAGATTCCAGCGTTCTCCTTAACCTTCTCTGGTGGCTTCGCATCACAGTGCATCCAGAAAAACACATAGCCTTCTGGATGTACTAGGGTTTCCCTAAATGATTTAAGAAAATTCCTTTTCAGCCATTAGCTGACCACCAAGTTAACTGGAGAGAGACTTAGGTGGCCACACATGAAAAACAATGTAGGCATTACAGAATTAATTCAGGAAATTTACTAAAGCCAGTCACTTGCCTCCTTAACTAGCTTTCTCTCCTTCTCTCGGTCTTTGCCAGTCATTTCCTGAACACACCATATAAACTCCCAGGTTGGGACATCTGCCTTTACTCTATCTATGCTGTGTCTGAAATACTCTGCTCCCTTCTGGAGGGCTGGCACCTTTTTATCATTTAGATCTCAGCCAAAATGTCATTTTCTTAGAAAGGCCTTCTCTTACCAATTAGAATAAGTTAGCACCTTTCTAAGCAGCTTTGAATACTATCACCAAGTCCATTTCTTGATAGCACTTAATCCTGTCTGAAATCATCTGACACATGACTTGGCATATGCTCTTGGAGTGAAAGGGGTCCGTGTGGGCTTCTTCACAGACCCAGCACATGGCCTGGCAGGAAACAGTTGATGAACGGGCTTCTTTTCTGGATAAACCCACCATAAAAACCTGTTTCTCTTCCACACGGCCACCTATACCAGCATGGAAAGTGGGAATGGGCAAAAATAGAAAGAGTGGAGAATTATCTATTCCACTCTTGCTAACTCCAACACTACTGGAGTTTCCTGAGCCCAGTTATGGGATACAAATTGTGAAGGGCAAACCTTTTTCATTTGGAAAATATTCAAATCTTCCAGGGAGTGAATATTTAAAAAACCTTTCCCAGGGACAATTGTTTTCCAACAACTGCAGCAAGCATAACCTCTATCAGGTTATTCCATCCAAACACAGAAAGCAAACAAGTCTTTGAAGCTTGCAGGGATTCAAATGTCTTCTCTTGTAAGTTAAAATAAAGGAAAAAGATATAGTGTTGACAATGAAAAGACAGAGGCCTAATTGAGAATGACTGAAATTAATGCTAATAATTAAAACAACAAAATATATATGGACACTGTCAATGAACATCTGCCATGTGCTAGTTTCATGCTGGGATGTTCACCTACATTATTTATCTGTTTATAAACCCAAGGTGGCAGGCAGAAATCTAAGGCGGGCCCCAAACTCCCTGTTCCTGCATAATTCCAAGAACTGTGATT